ATATACATATATATAAATATATAATGAATGTCAGTAAATTTCATTTTCTGATAGTTGTTTTAAACAATCTAACTCAAATTTATGTTGTACATGTTGTGAGGAGGGACATCATGCTTGGGAGGGTGGAGGGACAGCGCAGGAGGGGAAGGCCCTCTATGAGATGGATTGATTCAGTGACTGGGATAATCGGCATGGGAGTGTCAGAGACAGTGCAATTGGCACAGGACAGAGTGGAGTTTAGGGCTGTTTTACATACAGGGTCACTATGAGTCGCAAGCGACTCGACGGCACATAACAACAACAACAACAACAACAACTCAAATTTCTGCTTTAGACATCTGTCTGCCTGTTGTAAATACCCATGTGCCAAACTCAAGATACTCCAATGTTATTTTAATGGTAAAGGAAGGTCTACATGATAGATAATATTTAAAATCAGATTTAGAGTCTGAGGAGGAACTAGCTTCATTTAGTGGATGTTGGGTTGGGAAGAAAAGTAAAGAAAGTGGAGAAAATTTCTCAAACAGATAAAATGTATTTTGGCAAAAGTCTTTGTGGGAAGGGAACATCATGTCGTAGAACTAATGTGTTTGTTGGATGTTAGAGGGGAAATAGATATTCTCCTCTTCAGTAGCTTCTATGGCTCCCACTCCATAGGCCTTGTAGAACTACCCCATAGTGTTTCCAGTGCTGTAAATCTTTATGGAATCAAACATATTGTCTCCTATGGAGTGATTGGTGGATTTAAACTGTCAACTTTTGCAAGAAAATTCAGCACAATTCCACATCCCACACCACTACTCTCACAATCTCCAATCCCCCATAAATGGGCTTCAAAGAAAATCCAGCAAATTCAAGCATAAAAATAACACATCCTTTAAAATTCTGGTTAGCAGCAGAGTGCTTAAATCTGGGCACCACCAGGATGCCTTGCTTTTATTATTGTTATTATTAGGTGCCACTGAGTTCAATAAGACTTTGCGATCCTATCAACAACAGATCTGAACTCTGCCCTAACCTGTGCAATCTTCATCGTATCTGACATATTTAAGATCACTGTTGCAATCACTGTTTCAATCCATCTTATTGAGAGTCTTCCTCTTTTTCACTAACCTTCCAACTTCAAGCATTCTGTCCCACTCCAAGGAGTAATATCTCCTAGCAACATGCTCAAAGTATGTGAGATGAAACTTTGTCATCTTTGCCTCCAAGGAGCACTCTGGCTGTACTCTCCATGACATATTTGTTTCTTCTTTGGGAGTTTATGGAATACATGGTACTCTTCTCTGAAGCCACAGTTTAAAAACATCAATAATGCTCTAATTCTTATTTGTTGTTTAGGTCTCAGATATGTAGTAAATGAATGATAAGACAATGGCTTGAATCAGACGCACTTTAATCTTTCTCTATATATTGTTCCTCTATAATTTGGAGAAGTCTCTGATTACAGATTTCTCAATGCAGTACATTTCCTGTTTTCTTGACTGCTGGTACCAAGAATACTTATTGTGGATCCAAGCAAGATGAAAATAATGACAGTTACATTCTCTTTTCCATTTATCATATTGTTTCCTATTGGTCAAGTGATGAGAATTTTTGTTTTCTTGACATCGAGATATAATCCATATTGCAGGCTGTGGTCTTTAATCTTTCGTAGCAAGTGCTTCAAATTCTCTTCTTTTTCAGAAAGCAAGATCATGTCATCTGCCTAATGTAGGTTGTTCATAAGTCTTTCTCTGAACCTAATGCAAGAGTCTTCTTCATAAATTCAAGCTTCTCAAATGATTTTCCTTTTCAGAATAGATTTTAAATTATATTTGTGTACTGCTGCTGGTAATGCTGGTGTACATATTCTTTTTTTTTTTTTTACTTTATTTGGTATTAACAGGTTTGAACATACTCTTTTTTTCTTAATTTCCATTCATTCATTGTTACACATTTCCTCTCCATCCCCCCTTCCACCCCCAGTTCACTTTTTTTCTTTGGGAAAACAATTTCTTTCATTGTTATATAGTTCCTCCCCCTACCACTTTACTATGCAACTCTAATTCTGGACTCTTCCATGCCAATAATACATAATCAGATGTTCCTTTTATATAGTTCTCTCCCTTCTTTGTTTCAATGCTGTGTTGTTGTTCTTATGTGCCTTTGAGTCACTTGTGACTCATAGCAACCCTATGTACAACAGCCCTAAACTCTGCTCTATCCTGTGCTAATTGCACTGCCTCCAACACACCCATCCCGATCACCCCAGTCACTGAATCAATCCACCTCATAGAGGGCCTTCCCCTCCTATGCTGTCCCTCCACCCTCCCAAGCATGATGTCCCTCTCCAAGGACCGGTCCCTCCTTATAACATGTCCAAAGTATGTTAGATGAAGCCCCAGAATCCTTGTTGGTTTAATCCTCTCCAGGATGAATCTGTTTGTTTTCTTGGCAGTCCATGGTACTCTCAATACTCTTCTCTAGCACCACAGCTCAAAGGCATCAATTCTCCTTCTATTCTCCCTAGTCATTGTCCAACTCTCTGATGCATAACAAGTGATTGCAAAGACGATAGCCTGTATCAGATGCACCTTAGTCTCCAGAGTGACACCATTGCTCTTCAGTACTTTGGCGAGGTCCCTAACAGCAGACTTTCCCATTGCAATATGGCTTTTAATTTCCTGGCTGCCAATAGTGTTGACTGTGGAGACAAACAGAATAAAGTTGTTAACAATCTCAATCTCTTCACCATCCATGCTGATGCTGCCAATTTGCCCAGTGGTAAGAATCTTTGTCTCCTTGACATTGAGCCTCAATCCATATTGGAGACTGTAGTCCTTGACCCTCTGCAGCAAGTGCTTCAGATCCTCCTCAGTTTCAGCAACTAGGGTTGTGTCATCTGCATAATGTAGATTGTTGATAGATCTTCCACCAATCCTGATGCCATACTTGTCCTCATAGT